TAAATCATCATATTTTTTATCACAACATATAGATCTTTTGGACAATAAAATTTTATACAATTTGGTAAAGCCATATTTAGTAATCGAAAATGTATTAAATCATCATCATCAAATCCCATACATTTTTCTTTCTGTGTAAATGATGGGCGGAGGCAGAGAAAACTAACTGTGAGAGCGGCATAGTGGAACAGCTGACTTTTGTTTACGTCGCGGTCTGAGATTTATATTTATGAATGAATTGGCGGTGGCCTTGCGTGCGTGAGAGCGGTTCTCTCTCTCTCTTTTGTTTGTGAGTGTGCGTGCTGACCTTTAGAAAATCTATATTACGTATACGCCTAGGTGTATGGGTGCAATGCATTTAGAATGCGTGCAACAAGGTCAACCCACTCGACGTCGCCGCCTATTGGTGCAGACAAAAGTTCCAGCTCCACCAATACCCTAATTTTTGTATTAAAATAAAAGTAAAGTAAGTAAAGCAAAGTAATTGAATAATAATTTTCATTTTTTAAATAAATAATCTTATTTTTTTAATTTTACACATACAATTTAAAGAACATTTTGACGGGATTGACAAAGTATCCGCGTTATCTAGCATTTAAAAACTACAGAACCGATCAATCCGCCTCCAAAAAATAACACTTTTCATTTTGTTAATTAACATTTAGTTGAAACCTCGGAAATCGAATTGTTCATTTACATACAACTTTTCTTTAGAGTTTTTTTTTTCAATTTAATTTTATTTAGTAAAATAATATAGATATATATATATAAAATAAAATAATTAAACTGAAAATTATAAATATTGTTATTTTGTGAGCTATCAATCCTTTTAAAAACTACTCTGATCAATAATATAATATAATAATATATAACTTAGAACTGCAAACTAAACAAGACGTAAATACGTTCGACTTTTGAGAATTTCAATTATAGGGTATTGAAGAGAAAATCAATGAGATGGGTTTAATGGCGCCTGGGATTTGGGCTGCACGAACAATGCTTACCAATTTCACTGGTCGCCAGTTCCTGGTCCTTCTCAGCAGGCGCCTGACTGATGGTTACCCGCTTCACTACGGACATGTAGTTGTCGCCGCTGCTGCTGCCCGCGGTGCACGCGATGTGGGCAATGCTAAAGGACACCAGCTTGCTCTGGCTGAACAGCTGGCGCAGGTGCTCGGCATTCTCCTCGTACTGACGGAATTCTGAACCACCGGTCGAATTCACGGCCATGGTCATCACGCCATGCGAAGGTCCTGCTGTTGGGGCCGCTGCCAAAGCCATTGTCTCCACTTCACTTGGCTGCCCGATGGGGAATGGTTCTAGACGGAGGGCTGCTGCCAAATCGTTTGATAGTCGTCAGTTTCTGCAGCTGTGGCATTTTCATTCAACCACTGACACAAATCCGAATCGAGTCCAGGTCAGTTTTTTTTCCAAAATTATTATACAATTTCCGCTGGTTAAGAACTGGTTAAAAGCAAACCTTTGCGAAAAGTGTGCCGAAAGCGACAAACAAACCGCCCGCCAAACTGCCAAACGACGACTGGCAGACCAAGTGCAACGAAAACTCACTAGAGAGTACAAATGGTAGTGAGAATCGAATAGAGAACCCACGGAGAATCGACTCTCTCTCTCAGTTCTCTCGCACTGCGCTCAGTTCTAAATTTGAAATTGCATTTTGAAAGCCGGTAGGAGGTGGCAAGCTTAACTCTCTGGTTCAGGGTCACCGTCACCTCACAGCACTTTCACTCGACGGGTGCGTATACTTAATGCGACGCTCCGCCAAAGCGGATGTTGCTCATACGCCGCGTCGGCCGATAGTCGTTTGCATTGGCCAACCAATTCGTGCACTTGAAATTGCATTGCCTGTCCTTGGCGGGCACTGCGTGTGGGTCGAGGCAATGCGCATAAAAATCAAAGTAAAACACATTATAAAAGGGGTTCAAATTTGTAGGAAAAATATACAGTGTCATTTGTATAACATAATCCACCAGATGCTGCTTTTCAAATCCCTCTTATTATTGGTTTTCATGCAAATCGAACTATTTTTTTAATTTTTAAAGTTGTTGTGGCAATTAGTATTCATCTGTAAAATCAAAGGAAAAGCTGTTTAAATTGGTTTGCCTTAAATATAAAAGAAATTAGTATTATATAGCAATAGCACACAAATAGTTTCAATAGATTTGAAAATTTAAGAAAATTGTTTATCATAATTCACCATAAACATTTTCTTCTTGAAGCATCCGACCTACAGTGACTGAGTTCCTCTGAATTTTCGGTCACGTAGCCGCAGACAAAGCCTAATAAAGTTCAAAGACCAAGCTCATTAACGTCGGCCGCAGCCAACAATGCAGGGGCCAGGCAATTTGTTTATTTAATATGCATCTACAAAGCTGCTAAATGGTCATTAATTAAATATCAAATCTGCCACGGCCAATAAATAAGAGACCACTCCCAGAGACAACGAGAAGTCGAAGTCGAAATCGAAATCGAAGCCCGAACAATGTAAATACCAATCGCGCAGGCCAAGATACGCACCTGAGATTCGGAAAGTTCAAGGCTGCCATCCGGCGGTTGATTATGCCAATTGCCCAGTGCGGGCAACTCCGGGCTAATGCTTCCGCCTTATTCGATCGGTTGAATAACCCCAGATATACCCCAGCATTCGTACACCCCGACACCTGTGGCAAATTAGGGTCAAACATGTGCAGCCAACGAGCTCGGCTCAAATTTCAGACTCTACTGGCTCAGCATTAAATTCAGGGTCAATCGGCACTTTCAAAATCGCGCACAGAGCTTGGATTGAGTCGGACATGGATTCTAAGCAAACTTGTCAATCATTGTAATCGCTTTACTACTTATACACTGCACAAAATCGAGCACTACGAAATATGGTAAATAATAATTTGGCAGTTTTATGATTGTATCATCTGTGGTTATAGTTTTGATTTATGATATTAGACAAAATTACAAAAACCACACATTATTTTGTTTTTTTCTTCACCAATATATTCGGAATTTAAACATTTTCACATGTTAATAATGCAATTGAATTTCCATATCTTAAATCCAACATATAAAGGTTTAAAATAGAAAGAAATGAATCAAGACTTGGTTTACTTCAATTGCACTTATTGATAAAAAGAAATACAATTTTTATATAATTTCAACGTATTATTATAAAATCGATTTTTCCAAGTACATTTGGTGCACATATCTTTGCGCCTTTTCCCATGCGTAACGTTGCCGGCAGGCAATCCGACCTTTTTTGGGGGGCACTTTTATGGAGCATGAGAAACGGCGACAGATATCATTGTTTTTAATTGCCGATCTAAGCGCCTAGGCCTAGGTCAGTCTCTACCAGATTGCAGTTCGCTCCACTCCACTCCGCTCCGCTCCGACCATAATTAATTTAATAAAATGTAAAGCAGCCAGCTGAAAAACTTGACTCATTCTCGGCGCTCAGAAGCGACTTTGAGCGTGATTCGGAATCGGTTGACTCACAAACTTGAGTTCAACTCGTTTTTGTGGCATTCAACGGCAAGCGAATAAAAGTTCGTCGCCTCGATATTCTATGATCAGTTTACAGTCTCAACTTCGCCCAGGCCCAGGTGTTCCAGTTTCGGTTGAAGTGCTTCTCTCCGAGGATTAGCTTCTAAAAAAAAAGTCAGCATCAAAGTGAGTGTCGTGTGTTGTGCGAGTGGGTGCTTTGGAGCACCGAAATCCGATTCGGTTGTGTGGGATCGTAACCTTGACTTTGGCTGTATCAAAGTATCAAATTGGACTTGGAATATGTAAATGCATTTAATGGCGCATAGTCACAGTGAACATGCATGTACAGTGGCTGTGATCTTAATTAAATTAGAAAAATGTATGGCTTTCAGCCAATGTCATCTTTTCAAGGTTCACTTGTAAAAGTAAAAGTTAATTTTTTTAAACTACGCAGCTCTGATTTCCTGTCGAATGACAATAATAAAAATTATCCATTCTTAATTCTTAAAAAAAACGAAAAGTAATTGACTTAAAAGGTTCGTAACCATGTCAACTTAATCAATCAAACATTGTTCAAGGATTAATAATCGTCATTAAAAAAGTAACCAATGAAATAAATATGAAAAAAGGACATATCTTGTCGCATCATCACTAGTAGTTCCAAAGCCTATGTGAATATAACAAATATTGTCAAAATCTAATCCCATAAAGACCACTGTATCTGTATTTCATTGCTTTGTTCAGACCAAATTGGAGCACTCTACGCTTGACAATTAAAGCTCGCCATTTAGCTCACAGCCAGTCCAATTCTTATCAATAAAAAAAGCCAGTTCCAGTTGCAAAAAGTTCACGGATTAGCCACTGCAAGAGTCCGAGCCAAGATCTCCGCGCTGCCCACTCCATTGGCCATATGCGATAATTGATTTTCCCGTACATAATTTATGACGCACGAAACTGACAGCCGACTTGTAGATTAAAAACTGCCACTGACCGTCGGCAATAAATCTGTCCGTATCGCTTTATTAGAACGTTGGACAATAATGCCAGCTCCTGCTCCTTTTCACCCCTCCTGTAGCCAATCATGTTGACCGCCTGCCAAGTAGCGCTGCTCGCTGGATGCCTGCTTCTGGCCGTGAGCTCGGTTCGGGCCCAGTTCTTCTACCACCAGGGTTTGGGTCTGCCGGTTGCGCACGCTTACGAGCCAGCCAACCAATACCAGGGATATGCCACAGCCGATGCCCATCCCTCGGTGGTGAGGAATGCCCACTGGGAGTCCGAGTTGCCGGCCGAACTGTCGAAGAGTGCGCGATTCTACAATGATCCTGTGATTGCCGCCAACCTGGCCAAGGAATCGCTGCTAACGAAAAAGGAAATGGCTGTGGTGCATCGCGAGGCTGAGAAAATTCCGCGGGAACAGGTCTACAAGCTGTTCAAGAACGCCGGCTACCTGAGTCGCAGATAGAAATCTCGTGCCCAGATGAGTTCCGTTTCCCATGTGCCTTGTTGTATTCTAGCTTTTAAATTGTTAATATATTGTACATACACATTAAATGTTTCCTCTATAAATGACCACTGAATTAAAGTGACTGACAAGGGCTTTTGGTATACAATTGGGATTATAAGCTGGAAAAACTTCACTGTATATATAACTCGGCTCCGTTTCCCGGAAGTGTGGCAAAGACCACTTCGCAGAAGTTGTTGGGCTGATGGCGCTCCAGGAGATGCGCTGGCAAATGGGCGTAATAGTCCCGCTTCAAAGCATTTATATACTCGTCAGCCGCTTCAACGGAATCGCACATGGCCACTATGCAACCACCCCACCTTGAAAACAACATTTTAGTTAGTCTAGAGAGCTATAATGATTTCTAGCTTCTTACCCGGCTCCCGTAACGCGAGCACTGACATTCTGCTCGTTGGAAATGGCAATCAGTCGCTCCACATCTGGGTGGGAGCATTCATAGAGCTCTCGTAGACTTTCGTGAGACTGCCGCATTAGTTCACCCAGCTGCTTGGCACCTGCCTTGCTGGGTCCCAAGGCCAGTTGCTCACAAATCTTCCGGAATTTGGCAACACGACCGGATTCTGTAAAATAATGATAAAGTCAATAACTTGTGAACTCACGTTACGATTGATAAATAATTTAAAGAATTTTAATCAATAACAGAATAATGTTAATTAAGAGTAATTATTCAAATTGCGATCAATTAATTTAAAGCATGTGCAAAATGAGGAACTTAAACCTTTGAGAAATGTTTCCGATATAATCAAAAAAAAACCCTGATCAACTCACCCTGGATGACATGCAAAGCACGCTGACGCAGCTTGAACTGCTCCATGTGGCGCGTGTTGGCGGAGAGGAACTTGGTCTCCAGTTCCTGCTCGGTGACTCCCAGCTCCTCGCAGATATCCGCTCGCGTGTAGGTCCACTTGGTCAGGGTGTCCTTAATCAACTTCTCGAATGTCTCGTTATCCATTTGGCAAGCCTCCTCCAAGTCAATGAAGCGCACAATGTCCTGCCAGTTGATCAGACCCTTTCGCTTGGCCAGCCATCGCGTGGCCAGTCGACACTCCACCACCCTTTCGTTGTAATCCGACGAAGCGGCCTTATTCTTTTGCGCCAGACTGTTGGCCACCACGAAGCACTTGCCCGCTGGCAATGTCACCGGAGTGCCCTTGAGCTTGGGATGGAACTCTATGTGGTGGGCACAGCCTACTCGGCCCAAGTAAGCGATAGCCTGATCCATACCCCCACTGTGGGTGCCAATATACTGCTCACACTTGGCCGAAATGGAAGCCAGCTCCCTGCGATCCAGCTGCTTTCCCTGGACGTGCGCAGTGGCCAGGACAGCGGAGCTGACCATCGCACTGGAACTGGACAGTCCTGCAGCCAGCGGCACATTGCCGTCCACAGCAATGCGCATTCCCACAGGCTTCCACTGACTGCCCAGGCTCTCCTGTATGCCCTTGATGCCGCACAGGAAATAGTTGTACCAGGCTGGTCCTCCAGTTTTTGGCAACTCAATTCTGAAATAGACAATACGGAAAAGGAAAGATATTTTCAATCAAAATAATTATAATGGTATCAATTTAGTTATTATTAAAAGACAACATCAATCTTAAAACTTTTTTTATACCCTGACAGCTATAAGTTAATCTATAATATATATCTTTATTAATATACTCAAAATGTTGATTACCTACAAAGATTTGCCAACTTTCTATTTATTTTTGACTTATTTAATCGATCTTTTCTATAACAGCTTTATGATATAGTTATTTATGATATATTTTTTTATATACAAAAAAATATTTATAGGGAATGACTATTTTCTGATGTGTTTAAAAACAATAAATATTATTTATATTATATTATTCTAATATTATATTATTATTTTAACCGTTTCAAAACTTAAAAGCGAAGTAAGTTAAAGCAGGGAGAATATCAATGTCCATTAAACGTGCTATGTAATTCCGTTCTCTGGTTATTAAGGTCTGTTAATTATCATTATATGAATCACCCACCTGAGTGTTTTCAGATCCGCATCATAGCCCGGGAACTTGGCCTCCTCCAGATTTCTAAGCTGCAGTTGGCTGTCCTCTGGATTTTTGGCCACCGCTAGGAAAATGCTCTGGCTCACTGCCATGGGCAGCACCGAATAGCCGCAGTAATCAACATGCTCGCCTATAATGTTGACCCTGGGAATAGATATAGATAGATATAATCAGTGGGGAGCTTACATATTTGCACAACCAACAAGGGAAAGGGAAACTTACCTGCCTGGAACACGAACGAAAAAGTCTGGATCCGCTCCGAACTGCTGTTTGAAAAACGCGCCCAGCTGCTGCACGCGCTCGTAAATCTTGGAATCCTGCTGAAGCTTTTGCTGGGCCACGACTTCGATGCCGGCTCCCAAAACCTGAGCAGTTCCGTTCCCGTTGGCGGTCATGTCTATCTGTAGATGGGTAAAACATTAATAACAGACATTTTTTTCGCAGTCGACGAACCGTAAACGTGTCGCAACAACTGGTTAATCCAAATTTATGAGCAAAAACAAATTTACATACGTAAACGTAAACAAATAGCCCCAACAACAACAACAGTTGCACCTGTGGTTGTGCAAAAAATGAGCTTATCAAACCATCTCACCTTATCAAAATGTCGAAATAGCTATTAGCACACAAAGTTATTTACTAACATTCCGATAATCAATCAGGGAAGCAGTGTCAGAGTTACTTAAACATTAGATTGACGCCAATTTGACCGCTTAATTGAGAAAAACAAGTGCAAAAGTGCAATTCTGCCGGCAAATGAAAAGGACGGGCATGCGAGAGCGAGAGGTCAATAGCCGACAGCTGTTATTTGGAAGTTGCCAGGTTTGCGAAAACTTTAACCCTCAAGCAGCTCAAGGGTTAATACTTTAAATATTTATTATAGAAATCCTTTAAGGTTTTTATTTAATATTATCTGTGTGTTTACTTAAAACAAATCGAGACATCCAAAATAAAATGAAATTACTTTATAATTATAATAATAAAAATTCGTTTGATTTTACTGTTCAAATAAAAGTCTAAAACCTTGAAGTGTTTTTGTTACTGATTACCTTAATCTGTTTGATTTTTGCTAGTTTTGTTTGTTTTCTATATTTGATTTGTTTATATTTTGATTTTTTCATCCATGATCAGTGATCATGTTGCTCTGCTGAATACGACCATTGGTTATTAAGTTGAGTCCATTACTTTCACGTTATTATTATTTATAGATACTTTAAAGATATTATGCACTTTGTTAAGATCTTAGCGCTATTGCCGATACATACCCCACAATGTCTTATCTTTCTGTTTATGAGGTCAAAATAACTTGGAGCTGTTTTCAGACCTTATCAGCGAAGAGTTCTAGTTTTCAATGTGAGCACGTCGCGTTCCATCAAGCAACTGAACAATCAGGCCCGTGCCGTTTCCGTTTTTTAGTCCGGAATATAACGAACAGTACAGTGAAACATCATTATCAAGTAATCATTGTCGTATTTATACTTAGGTCTATTTTTTTAATTATTTAAAACATCAAAGTTCCAGTTAGAGAAGTCAGACTGTGTATGTGTATGTGTATCAGTAGCAACTTTTTGAGAGCTTTGTTTGTTTAAAACTAGCTTTCTTTACCGTTAAATAGGTCAAACATCTTCATAACATCCAAACAACTTTTGTTTGCATTCTTAAAACAAGTTTTAAAATTTCTATCGCCTTGAATGTTGTTTTAGGCTTCTCCTCGATTAAAGGCCTTTACTTTGACCGTTATTTTGCTATTAAGGTAAGTATTTGCTATTATGATAAGGTAGGCGCAAATTGCACTTGGAGTACTTTTAATATGCTCAGGTACTTTATTTTGGAGACAAACTCTTGATAAATACGAATAGATTAGTAATAATAATTATACATAAATATATACATGTGCCAAATTTAAATTATATTACAACAGTATAATAATAAAAATAAAAATTATCCTATAGATGATTAATGTTTTTTTGTTTCCGAGTGTGGACCATATCGATCGGAAATTAGTCTAGAACAATTTAACTAGCAATTTAAAAAATATTCCGTTAAGGCTGGGCGTTGCCAGAAGGGGGACTGCCAACTAAAGTTCGTGAAACGGTGCTGCCGGCTCTCGTCACTTCATTTTTATCGGCCACGGGCACACTGCGACTATATCATCGTTGGAGCTCATTTTATTTGTTTTTGAAAACGAATAATTGCCAGGAACAGCAGCGCCAATAACCACTTGCACCTGCATCGTAGGAGCCCCACCTGTTGACCCCACTGCGGAGACAATCGAATCTATGTCGAGTTTACAGCGCACGATGCTGAAGGGCAAGCTGCCACCCACAATTCCTAGCGGGCGCATCGGCAGAGCGTAAGTGGAAGATTCTGGGAGGGGAGAGTTCGCCATTCCTACCCGATTTGGCCAATTGCAGGGACTCGTTTAAGAAGTCGCGCATCAGGGACTACAAGCCGGGCCTGTGGAGCGAGTTCTTTGCGGAGAAGGACGACGTCCAGGTGGACGAGCAGCGCACCTTCCGGATCTACCGCACCAAGCAGCCGGAAAAGCCGGGTCCGGTGCTCCTCCTGCTCCACGGCGGTGGCTACTCGGCGCTCACCTGGGCCCACTTCTGCGTGAGTACCTGTAAATGATTTGCGTTTGGTGTGTTAATTAATTTTGTATTCTAATCGAAGACGGAGGTAACCAGCATGATCCACTGCCAGTGCCTGTGCATCGATTTGCGCGGACACGGCGACAGCAAGGTGGACGACGAGGACGATCTCTCCGCAGATACGCTGTCCAAGTGAGTTTATTCCACTCCAGAACCAAATCTATCGCAACTAAAAGCCATAAAAAACTACCCTAACAAATAGAATTCTTTCTTAAGCCCTTGTATTATTAACCATTTGAAAATCCTTCTGTTACAAAAATCAATGCGTTCTTTAGGTTTGAAAACAGGGAATCAAAATGCTATTTTCTACATGCCCTGTTCAAATGGAATTTTTGATAGTCTTATTTAGTTGCTCTACAAAAATTACATTTAGTTTAAAAATATTTCCGTTTTTAAATGTATCCCTTAGGTTTTATTTTTTCTTTGACTTCATATAACCACATGGACTCGCAAACCAAATTTGCATAATCTTAGTTTATAAAAATAGCTCAAATGAGGTCGCTCTATACGAATTCAGAATCTAACCCAACAAGTACTTTCGATAATTTATTTTGTTTATAACAGCAAGGAGATAAATAGCTTTTTTTTCATATTTTGCTAGAATTTTATGCCATTATATAACTTTACTTCTATTACATTTAATGATTAAATAACGTTATTATTTGAAGTTTATGATTTTAGGACATTTTTTCTTGTATAAAATTCGATAATCTTTAAGCTGTCTATTAATATTTATGATATTCCGAACACAGGGACATTGGAGACTTAATCTTGAAGCTCTACCCCGAGGAGATGCCGCAGCTCTTTGTGGTTGGACACTCGATGGGCGGCGCCATTGCCGTCCACTTTGCCCACATGGCTCTGGTGCCCAATTTAATTGGCATAACCGTCATCGATGTCGTAGAGGGCACTGCCATGGAGGCACTGGCCAGCATGCAGAGCTTTCTGCGCTCCCGTCCAAAGTATTTCCAGAGTATTCCGAATGCCATTGAATGGTGCATCCGGAGTGGCCAGGTGCGCAATGTGGACAGCGCCAAAGTGTCCATGCCCGGGCAGATAATCAAGTAAGTGTGCAGGTCTATTGCTCTATTTTCAGAAAACGTTAATCTTTTCAAAACCATTTAGCTGTACAACGAACAAACTGGCAACGAATGATCTGCCATTACCCGATGAAGTGCTGGAGGAGGCGCACCACAACAGTATGTTTCCCAATCCGTTCAGCATTTCGGAGGACGAGGAATCGTCACCGCCGGGCGATGAAGCCGCCGATGGCAGTCCAGAAAGCGCTGCAGCTGGGGCCGACTTTAAGAAGCCCATCACGACCAAATCGATGACCGAAGCGGCCAAAAAGTATATATGTCTGTACTTATTGCTAGAGCAAACTACCAATTTACTTTATGTATCCTTAGTTACACCTGGCGCATTGATTTGTCCAAGTCGGAGAAGTACTGGGTGGGCTGGTTCTCGGGCCTGAGCGATAAGTTCCTCAACTTGCGCCTGCCCAAGCAACTGCTCCTCGCCAGCATCGATGGCCTCGACCGCACCCTAACCGTTGGCCAGATGCAGGGCCGCTTCCAGATGCAGGTGTTGGCCCGCTGCGGACACGCCGTGCACGAGGACCGTCCACACGAGGTGGCCGAGGTGATCAGCGGCTACTTGATCCGGAATCGCTTCGCGGAGGCTGCCAGCGAGTTCCGGTGTCACATGCCGTCGTGCTAAACGAACCACCCCCTTGAGCACAAGCTTAGGTCACAAAAGTCTATTTTTGAATGGAGTAACATTACTCTTTGAACTAACAGATGCGTGCATATATATATATACAAAATGTAGTGCGTAGGTCCAGATACATATATATATATATATAGCCGTTTATTCTATATACACATATACTTATAATCCAGTAATTTATTCGGTATTTTTAATTAAACCTTATGAATTTTTAACATTGTACTTTATACTCATTTTGCCAAAATCTAAAGTCAAAAGTGCTTGCGTTTGGGCTTCTTATATTGTTATAATGAGTGTGTATTAAATATGTGCCAGATTAAAAGAAAATTTAATGAAATCCAAATTATACGAATACAAATAAGTTGAATAAAGCTATTTATTAATCGAGTGTTAACAGTAAATCTCACAAAATTCGAATAAATCTTGAAATTTATTGAATTGCTTTGCTCGTCGCAAGGAACTCATAGAACTTGGATAGCATCATAGCACGTTTAGTCCACGAAACGGAAGCCACCATCGGATTTCATCTTCATCTTGGATTCCAGAGCCTGGATGCGGCGCAAGCGCTCGGCAATCTGCTCGCGTATCTCGACTCGATACTTCTTGCCCTGGCCCATGGAGTCCATTTCGGTTAGCCACTCGGCACGTTCGTTAATTTGGTCCAGCACTTCAGTTTAAGACATTTATATAGAGGCTTCTTTTGGACGCCAAACTAAGAATTTGATACTTACACTCATTTATGAGGTCCTCCTCCGTCACCAGTTGCTCCTCACGTGGACGACGGCGCGGCTTGATGGCCGGATCCGGCAGATGGGTGCCGGCCATGGTGAACTGAAGCTGGGACTTGGCCTTCTCACCGTGCATCCTGTTGTCGGTCGGCGGACGGTAGTAGCTCTGCTTGTAAGCTCCACTCGCCACGATCTGGCGCAGATTCTTTCGCTTCGCATTGCGCGCACGCTCCAGAATGGCCAGAGTCTCTTTATCCGGATCGTTTTTGGTGTTGGGACGCGGCGGTTCGGGCAGCGGCAAAGGATCCCCATTGCGCAGGCTCTCGTCGATCTGCTTGCGAACCATCATTGACATTTTGGACTCCTTGACAAGCACTAAGGAAGTGGGAAGATTTGAAAAGCTTTTTCAAAGCACAGAAATGTGCCCAATTTTATCTTAGTAATTTTTAAATATTCAAATGCAAATTTTATACGAGATTTAATACAATTTTTTACATTAAGGGGTCACGGTAATACTTCACGTTTTACATATTTTCAGTATAAAACACAGTCTTGGCATATGCACGAGAAAGTTTCTCAACAGTTAAATATTTTAAAACTGACTTGAGGCTTAAATTAAAATCGTAAGACAAAACCTCAAGGTCACCCGATCTTATAGAATATAATATTTGATCAGTTGTTTTTAAATGTCTACAATTCATAATCTTTATAAAAAAAATAAATTAATTTTTCTCAACAAAAAGAAAAACGCGCTTCAAATTAAAATGTTCTTTTTGATATAATTTTAGAATAACGATACTTTATACACCTATCCCCTGCCCAAAACACTCACATCGGATCAGATCAGCCGTCTCCTTGCTATACTGCACCTTAGCCGAGTGAAATGCTCCAGCGCCGCCAGGAACAATCCGTTCACTGGGCCACATCGGCATTTTCTGCGAACTGGACTGGCCTTCACCCGCTTCCGGTTCCTGGTGGGCAATAAGTCCGCCGGGCAGGGCCTTGATTTGAACGTTGTTAAAGCGATGTCGGCTCATTCTGAAACTCTTTTAATTTTAGTTCGGGAAAGTACTAAAGTATCGCTTCGATAATTTCGTGTGGCGTGTTTAAGGGCTAACCTCGGTGTGAAGTTGTTTTACGCTCGACAACAACGTAGAGACGCATGGCAACCTGGGTTGTTAGGCAAACAGCATGGGTATTTTTAATTCTCGAAATAATTTATTGAAAATAAATATATGTATGTAGGTATTGTATGTGTGTATATGTGTGGGTAGGTACACGCTTGGTTTACGCTCGCATTCTGATAAACTTCAATCCCCTGCGAACATCTACATAACTGACTTATGCACATTCGTCTACGAGTAGTTGCACTTTATATTAAACCATTTAGTTTTGTGGATCGTTTTGAACTCGCTAAAGTTTGACAATTAGGTTTCGATTAATTCTGTATCCCAACTGGCCGTACAATAGGTTTTTATTAATAAATAAAAGCATCAGCGATTTACAGTGTTGCGGTTGTTGTTAACAAAAGTATTTTGGAAATATCGACAAGAAATTAGAAAACCAATAACGTTTCTAAGCATAATTTACACATGCGTTTGTTCGGTTTTTTTCTTTTTTTAATTACAATTAGACTACACGTGTTTACGCTCATATGGTAGTTGTTTTTTGGCTGCCTTCTCTTTTCAGCTCCGCCCGTCTTCGTTTGTTTTTGAACCTAAGCTTATGATGCGACATACGTTAGTATATATAAATATATATAATTTTTTAAAAACAACTAAAACATAACATATCGAGTGATTGGCTTACCATTTACATGATAAACAATTGACTAAAGCAAACATAATAATAATAGTAATAGTAGAGATAGGCTAATCAATGACAATGGTGATCATGATCGGTGTGCAATACATGTGTTTGGCTTACGCTTACTTATACAAAATACAATATGTGGTTCCGATTCTCCAACACAAACAGTGAAACATTGAAACTCTTCACGATTAAAGTTTAGTCTAGTGGTTGTTTCCGCTGTGTTGCGATTTCCTCTGGTGCAGTTACGGTTCAGCAAATATGTTCCTTCTAGTTTAAAATAAATTATGTGTACGTGTATATATAAACATATCCATTATGTGACTACTACTTCATTCAGCAAGCCTAGTTTTGATTCGCGCAAACAATTCTCAGCTCTAATTTCTCATTTCTCATTTTTCAATTCTCACTTTTCAATTCCCTCTCCATCCAGCTTTCTTCTTTATAGTTTTTTTTTTTATAGTTGCGAAAAGTAATCTTAGTCAGTCTCATGGTCACGATGCAGAGTTCATTTTATAATTTTTACTAGATAAACTTTTTTCGTCGTCGTTTAGCGGGGCATTTCTTTTCTTTTGGCGACGTTGTTGTTGATGGTGATATAGTCGATGATGTGATTAGGATTAGAATAGCGTAAAATGTTGATCAAATTTGGCCAAATTTTCCTACATAGAGAGAAGTTACTGTATTGTGTGTTTGCGATGTGTTTTTCTTATAGGGCTTGGCATGTTAGTTTAACTACACAGATGGCGACAACATTTACGAAACGTAGACATTAATAACATTGACAGCAAGTTGCCACGCCCCCGCTGACAGCTGACATGGGGATTTCCTTCGGGGAGTACAACGTGGGTTCTGCAAGTCCAACGGCCAGCCGCTGGTCCTGCGAGCCCCGCCAGCTGATCATATCTTTGGGAGCGTCTTGGCACACAATTAATAAACTTAACATTAAAACAAACTATCGACTTACTAACTAAAAACGATTACAAAACGGGTTGTGAAGGGGGGCGCAAAATGGACAACTAGACGCGACACAAACATATATATATATAAATACGAATCTTACAAAGCTAAATATAAAAACATGTATGTTCGTTATGAAATCAAACTTCAAACACGGTACAAAGCTAGGTGAACACAAAAACTGTTGTTGGCAGCCCCATTACAATCTACTCGCTCAAGCAGCCCAGAAGAACCTTGCTCAGTTCATTGCCTGTTCAGTCATTTGGCGACACAACGTCTCGAGCTGTTCCAGGCTCTTGAAGTCGTTCATCTTGTACTCGGTGACATGGGGCGTCATGCCCAGGTTGACCAGCTGTGGCTGCGACAGGCAATGTTCCACGGCATGGTTGTTGTTCTTGCTGTTTTGGTGACAAAGATTGTGGACACAGGCACCACCAGTTACACCACCACCACCACCATTGGAGCACAAACAGCTGCCACTGCTCACTGCGGCGGCGGCTGCTGCCAACAGTTGCAGCTGTTGCTGATTAATCAAATTATTGTTCAGCATGCTGTTGTTATTATTGTTGTTGTTGTTGATCAGGATCTGTGGCTGATCGTGCGGCTCCTGACTCTGATTCTGGTTACTAACCATCACAACGGCGGCCATGGTCTTCTTTGGTTGCTGCTCCGAACTGCAAGCTCCTCCTCCGTTCCCGCTATGCTTTCGCTGCTGCTGATTGCGCTCCATTACTTGGTTGTCGTTTGATCCATTGTTGGTTAGCACACCCTGGCCGGGCTTGAAGATCAATTGCTGCGGCTGCTGCGGACCACCGGCCACCAGAATAAGATTGTTCAAAGAGCGACGGTGCGATTGAGGAGTCGTTTGCTGCGGCAACGCCGGAAAATGGTTGTGCTGCTGCAGCATTTGTTGCATCTGCTGGGCATGATGGTGCGACTTGTTGGGCGGCGGCGGTGGTGGCTGCTGTTGAGGATTACCCATGAAGCTAGGATACGAGGAGCTCTTGTACTGCGGCTGATGAGACGGACCTCCGCCATAGCCGTTGTAGTCAAACTGCGGCAGCGGAGGCGGTGCCTGCTGGGAATGGTGAGGCAACGGATGCTGCAGACAGTTCAGCGAGAAGTTTAGCATATCATTGGAATTTTTTCGATTGTTAATCCGGTCGTTGCTGCCATTCTTCGTATCGCACTTGCGAGTCTTGCCATTCCATCTATTACAAAAATTATATTATTAAAAATAATACCTATAATAGTCTTAATAAACGAAATAAACATACCTCGGTTTGTTGATGTTGCTGTTGTTTGGACCGACTCCGGCTGGCTTAACGTGATGCATTTTCGGCACCATGGAGATCTTCATTTTGGACAGCTTGAACTTCAGGTCCTTGAGTTGATTGGCATGATTCATGAATGCCTCGTTATGAATGGAGCGGTCTAAAATCCACATAAACACTCCCAGCGTCTCATCGTCCTGCGCAGCATACGGATCTTGCTGCAATGTGTTGCTCACAATATCGATGACTTTGAGGAAGCGCAGTCCAATGTTCTCCTCCGGCGCCCCAATGGCCTCCACAGGCTTCATTGGCGTCAGCACAATGTTGGTCAGCTCCTCGACGGCTGTACTCAGTTTCATTTGACCCGATAGCAACTCCTGCTCCACACGATTAAGAATTTGGGCACGCTCCTTTAGTTTGTCAATGCACAGGGCCAGCTTGTGGGAGGCACCCTTGGTTACACCCACACTCTGCAGAAAGTCCTCGGTGATCAACAGCATCTCCTCGTACGTCATGTTCTTGAACAGCTCGATGTACTTATGTAGGCGCAGAGACTTCAGCCATAGGCCTATTCCCGACATGCCAACGTTCCGGGTGTGGAACTTCACATAGTTGGGCTTGAACTCGTCCAGACGCGTATCGGATCCACTGTTAATCAAGGC